TAATTTCTTAAAATGTTAAACATATACCCACCACAAAAGCAAGGAATTCCATTCCTGGGCATTTAGTTAAAAGAAACAAAGACATCTGTCCCCACAAAGACCTGTACATGAATATTCTTCACAGTTTTATTTGGAATAACCTCAAACTGGAAATAACCCAAATGTCCAACAAGTAAATAGGATAAACAAACTGTTATATATCTACATAAAAGAATACAACTCAGCAACAAAAAAAGGAATGAACTATTGAGACATGACATAGCATGGAAGAATCTAAAAATCATGTGGAATGAAAAATTCAGGCCAAAAAAAGGAGTATATGACAAAGTAATCTATACTGATAGAAAACTAATCAGTGGTTGCCTAGGGAAAGTTGTAGAGGGAGAGATGGATTACAAAAGGTATCAAGGAAACTTTTGACCATGATAGAAATGTTTGTTATATTGATTGTGGTGGTTACGTAGTGGTTGCATGTCAAAACTGTTTAAATTGTACAGTTCATATATGTACATTTTACTGGACTTCAATTGCACCTCAAAATTGTACCAAAAAATAAGAGGGGGAAGGGATAATCCAACTTATTGACAAGGCAATGAGCAGTTCTATGCTTCTAGCCATATGGTGAACTGGATAACCTAATTGTCTCACTGTAAAACAGAAATGATTGATAAACTATTAACAAACATCCTCTTAAGTATGTATTGACTTTACTAGAAAGAAGGACACACAAGTTTGGTCCACCTTTAAAGAGTAAGGGGAAGAGGTTGCTAGTCTTGTAAGCAAGGGACTTTGGTTTAGACCGGCACTTACCAAGAAGAACTTGGCTTGGATTTGCAACTGAGACTTTCTCAAATCCCTGAAATCAATGAAGGGCTACACCCTCAGTAAAAGGTTGGTCCAAGGAAACGCTCCTCTTGCTAGCCCAGGATAAAAATAAGGAAGCTCTTCTGCCTTGAGAAAAGTCTCCTCTAAGAACATGTAACCACAGCCTATCCTCATGTTGGCTTAGGATTTGAATATATAATACTTCTATAGTCAGGTAACCCAAAGTAAAGTAATTAATCTAAAAGGTGGTCCAGAGGCACCTGGCTGGCTCAGTCAGAAGAGTATGTGACTCTTGAGCAGCCCGAGTGGCTCAGCGGTTTAGCACCGCCTTCAGCCCAGCGTGTGATCCTGGAGTCCTGGGATTGAGTCCCACATCAGGATCCCTGCATGGATCCTGCTTCTCCCTCTGCCTGTGTCTTTGCCCCCCCCCCCTCTCTATGTGTGTTTCTTATGAATAAATAAATCTTAAAAAAAAGAAGAGTATGTGACTCTTGATCTCGGGGTTGTGAGTTTGAGCGCCACATTGGGTGTAGAGATTACTAAAAAGAAATAAACTTTTAAAAAATAAGAAAAAATTAAAAAAAAAAAAAAAAGGTAGTCCAGGCTGAAAATGTCCCTGAAGCACCTGGCAGAAGAAAAAAAAAAAACACAAAGCTTCTCAGTGTGGTAAAATCCTAAATCAAGCCTCAAGGGATTCCCTCAATAATCCCCCAATAATAAGTGAGATCACAATACAAAATAACAAAATCCATTGGAAACCTAGAAAGGCAATATGTATGCAAAGGTATAGCACTTGAGTTGACATTTTTTTGCTAAATATTAGAATTTTTCTAAACAAACTAGTAACCCATAAAATCTAGTGTCTTTTTCTCAATGAAGACACAATTGGAACCCCATTAAAAAGAATTAGGAATTATATCTACTATACAGGTCCATGAAATGAAGGTAGTAAATTACAGAATACATATAGATTGAGCCTTCATTTTGAAAAAAATATAAAGGTTCTATATTTGTATGAGCATATAAAAGAATATGGAGGGACGCCTGGGTGGCTCAGTGGTTGAATGTCTGCCTTTGGCTGAGGTAGTGATCCTGGGGTCCTGGGATCAAGTCAGGCTCCCCACAGGGAGCCTGCTTCTCCCTCTGCCTGTGTCTCTGCCTCTGTCTCTCATGAAAAAATAAAATCTTTAAAAAAAAAGAATATGGAAATATATACACCAAACTAGTGAGATTTAAGGAGGATTAGTAGAGAATTTAAACACCTATGCTTTGTTCAGATATATTCTTTCTTTTCTGATAATATTTGTAATTTATTTCAATAAAGGAAAACATTTTAAAGAGGGATTTTTTGTCGTTTGTAACAACAATGGCAGTTATTTTGTCACCAAAAATAATGAACAAAACCCAACTTTCCAAGTGCAGTACAGATGCTAGCTACACCGAAGTCAAGCAATGGACAGAGGAGGACAAACACAGGGTTCTTTGAAAATCCTGTTTTTCACGCTTTTTTTCATTTGGCATTGTCACCTAAAATGTAATTATTCAGAAGCTGGTTTTCAGAAAGCATCCCCTTCTGAGAATAATGCTCATTGAGAACAACTTGGAAATGATTCAAGAACTGACTGCAGGTCACAGTTGCCATAAACAATAAACTTTATAGCCTGGCCCCAAAGAGATTGGATCATGGTATTAGAAAAGATGCAGAGATCATCCCCTTGCTTGTGCTTGACTTAATCAGGTAGTCAAAGAAATTCTAGTCCAAACAAAATGACTGGTTGCATATAAAAACAAATGAATAGCAAAAGACTAACGTTTTGAAGAACTGAGTTGTCTGAGAGGTCTTGCTAAAAAGATGTCTCATTTAAAAAAGAAACAAGATGACTTACCTTTATAGGCATGGAGAAATCACTTGCTATGTTCCAAAGTTAAAAACCTTCTCAGAGATAGGTATAGATGAGTATAGGAAAAGAAAATTTCTAAGACAAAATTCAAAAAATGGTTAAGGAACTTTTGTTGCATTTAAATTTAGCTTCTGAAAAATTAATTATAATTAAGTACATTTCATAGTAAATATGAGATTGGGCTGATTCCAGTTTCCTTTTAACAAAATTTATCCTCCCATTGGCCAAATTTGGGACATGTTGAGCATCAAAAACAAACAATAACTATGATTATTAAATATCAAATGAATAAACATCCATGATTCCATTGTGAGGTTCAAAAAAGAAAAAGGGGTGTTATCAACAATAGGCAAACTATGGAGAGAGCCCAAATGTCCATCGAAAGATGAATAAAGATCAGCTATAATGGATATATACAATGAAATATTACTCAAGTAATGTTATTTGAATATTACTTTAAAAAAGAAATCTTGCCATTTGCAATGTGAATGAACTAGAGGACATTATGCTAAGTGAAATAAGTCAGTGAGAGAAAGACAAATACCGTATGATCTCACTCATATGTGGAATTTAAGAAAGAAAACAGATGGTCATACAGGAAGGCGGAAAAGAGAAAAAGGAGAGAGGGAAACAAACCATTAGAGACTCAACATAAGAGAACAGAGTCGATGGAGGGAGTTGGAGGGGGATGGACTAGGTGGGTGATAGGTATTAAAGAGGACACTTGTGACGAGCACTGGGTGTCGTATGTAAGTGATCAATCACTGAATTCTACTCCAGAAACCAATATTGCACTGTATGGTAACTAAAATTTAAATTAAAAAAAGAAAAAGGGGGAAAAATAAGGAAAGCTATTTTTTTTTTTTTGAAGAATGTAGAAGATATTTAGAAAACCACCATTTTGAATTCCCAAAGCAATAATTGGTTTAGGCAAGATTCAGCAGCGTAAGTTAAAGCCATTAAGTGGAAAGTTGTGAAGAATATCCACACAATATTGAAGAATCACCCACAAATAATTACCATTTGCAAAGAGAAATTTTATAATGGAGAAATCACTGCTCACCCATTTAACCAAGGGATCAGTCTTAAATTCAGTAATAGCAGGGCATCCTGATCTTATGTTTCTTACTGCGAAGCTATAAAAACACACAAGGTCACTAGTGAAATCTTGTCAAGAATGTTTAGCCTGGGGCACCTGGGTTCAGTGTTGAGCATCTGCCTTTGGCTCAGGTTGTGATCCCCGGGTCCTGGGAGGGAGTCCCGCATCAGTCTCCTCACAGGGAGCCTGCTTCTCCCTCTGCCTATGTCTCTGCCTGTGTGTCTCTCATGAATAAATAAATAAAATCTTAAAAAAAGAAAGAACGTTTAACATGAATCTAATCAAGCCTTAACACAACTTACAGGAAATAGAAGGACTAGGCGTTAAAACACAGTATAAAGAACCAACCAAATCCAGATTGTGGGCCCTTCTATGAGACAACTGTCCGGACTTCAAAAACACAATGTCATGTTTAAGAAATGTGGGGAGACTAAACTAAAAAGACTATAAAGATCTACAACCAAATGCCACATACTAACTGAATCCTGGTGAGGAAAAGGGAAGAAGACGCTGTTAAAAAATTCTGAAACAAATTGGAAAATTTGAATAGAAATTAAATATTTGATGATATTAAGAATTATTGTCAGTTTTCCTTAGGTATGATCATGATGTTGTAGTTCTATACAGAATTTCCTTATTCTTAGGAAATACATGCTTAAGTGTTGAGATGAAGTATCAAGATGCCTGAAATTTACTCTAAAATGGTACAGCAGTGTGGTGGAGGGAGGATTGCCAAAATCTGTCCTTAACCTTCAAAACCAGTAATATGGTTTAACCTAATACATATGTAAAGAGAGTTAAAGCAAGTGTTAGCAATTGTTAGCAACTGTTGAATCTGGGTGTTGGCTATACAGGTGTTTACTGCACTATCATTTCAACTTTTCCATGTCGGAAATTTTTTTATACTGCAGAGTTGGGGGACGGGGAAGACTCTTTTCTGAAATATTTTCCTTTGAAGACATCTACCAAATTTACCTTAAATTTTAAAGAAGTATCTTATCTCTTCTAAAGAAGTGGTTTGCTTTTCCTCATTTGTTTACTACCATCCATTTAAAGCCTTTGCCTAAAGCTTGCTTTAATTATTGCAAATATCCTAATGCTAGAATTGAAAACCCAAAATAATCAGCACAAGATTTATGTGTAACTGGTTTTATATCCAAACAACAAACTTAACAGCAGTAAAACAAATTGTTTATTACAGCATAAAATGTGTTATATTAAATTTACACAATGATATATAAAAACACATACTGCTTATATCATACAGTAATTTAACATCCATAGAAATATCAAAACAAATACTACTCATGCACAAAACATGCATATATTGGTATAAAAAACAATTTACACAATACTGCTTACCAAAACAAATTTTTTTTTTTTTTTAAAAAAAAGCCCTTCCAGACAGGGTCAGTGATCCAATCTGGACTGGATTGCACTAAAATGTTTGGGCCAATGCTTAGGTGGCACCATACTCAGTGAGCAATTCTGGGCTTGGAGTTACACTCAAGGTTTATTTCATTAGGAGTGAATTTCTCAGTACCCAAGGACCAAAATTTACCCCAAAGACAAGTCCTTCCAAGAAGAAATGGCTGGATCTGCTGCAAATTACGGAGGAAGAGAAAGGCATCAAAATGTTGGCTAACTGGCCCAGAAAGGGTTATGTAACCAGGGCCTAGGCACCAAGTGTGGCAAAAGTTTGAGTGAATCCTTTTACAGTTATTACCAGCATCCTACCCAGAGGTCACCAGCTCTGGATTTAGGGTCTGGTCTTCAAGTTCTGAGTCCAGTAAACCAAACAGTTCTGAGAAGAAAATAGAATGGGGATACATCTAAGAAAGGGGGACTATATAAAAAATTACAGAAAACAATGACTGTCCATCGTACCTACTACACACAATTGTATGTGATGCCTCTCGATGGGAAAACCCTCATGGAGACGCAGCCCTAGAGAACCAAGACGCAAAGTATGTCTAAATTCCATCCACCTGACCTTCGGATCAAAAGGCCCCATCCCAGCAAGCCTTGAACACCGAAACCTGTGCCTTCACAGATGCTCAGAGAATTTCCAATAAGAGTCACCTGATACCACAAAATTCATTCACTATCACCACCATTAAAAACCCAGTATTTACTCCTAGCCAGCAAAACATCCTTTACCTTCCACTAAATAAAGGCACTAGTATCCCTACAGGATGAAGACGAGACAAAGCACCTCAAGTCTATCTCAACAAAAGAAAAGCATTCCGTGAAACTGTTACACACACACACACGCGCACGCACACGCACAAATACGACGCCACCTTTTCCTCTATTAAACTAGAAAACACCCCCCTCTCCACCGCCACCGCCACCCCCACCCCCTCCCCGGGGCGTTCCTCAAACAGTCGTCATGAGCTTCAGCGAGCCCGACCGAAAGCGGAGGATTTTCTTCTTGAGGTTATGCGAGGCCTTGATTTTGACAAAGGTCTTCGTGGGGTTGCCGTGGAGGTCCGGGGCTGCGACCGCCTGGATGGGCAGGGTCTGCACAAACTGGGACCAAATCAGGCCCCCGCTTTCCTCGGAGTCGCTGGAGCTCGTGCTGTCGCCCGCGAAGTCCCCGTCGCTCACGCTGGACTCGCTGTCCCCGAAGCAGTTGGTGGTGTAGTTGCTGCGCTCGTCCTCGCTGGTGTCGAGCACCGTGGAGTGGAAGAGGGACTCGCACTCGGCCGAGTACTCGGAGTCGCTGGCCACGTAGGCGTAGGGGCTGCTGTAGGGCAGCGGCACGGCGGCGGGGAACAGCCCCACGTGCTCGCGCCGCCGCCGCGACCTGCGCAGGGCCTCCTCCAGCGACACCTCGGCGGCCGAGCGCCACCGCCGCGAGTCGGCTCGCTTGTGCTTGGGCTTGGCCACCAGCGTCTCCCGGCCGTGGCCGTGGCCGTGCGCCCGCGCCCCCGCCGCCCGCTGGCCCGCACCCAGCCCCCGGCACGGGGCCCCCGCCTCGGGCTGGCCGCCCCCGCCCTTCCGCCCCCGGGACCAGGCCTTCCGGAGCCTCCTGTTTGTATCCACGTCGTCGTCGGGGAAGCGGCACTTCTTGCCGGCCGCGCGGCTCTTCTCCCTCGCGGGGGGCAGCGCGCCGTCGGGCGCGTGGAGACCCTGCGCCCCCCGGTGCCTCGGGGCCGAGCGCGGGGCGGCTGGGGTCCGGGCGCCGCGGTGGGGCCGGGCGGCCGCCGCCTGCAGGCCCGGGGCCGACGGCGCCCTGGCCGGGGGCCCTTCCTCCAGGCTTTGGGAGGAGGAGCCCTCGCTCTTGAAATCCAGCGCGGGCCGCTCCTCCAGCGCGCACGCTGAAGACGGCGGCGCAGCAGGCGCAGCAGGCGCAGCAGGCGCCGGAGAGGGCGCTGCTGCGGGGGCCGGCTGCAGGCCGCCTTTCTGGGACACCTTTCTCAGTGGCTGGACGACTTTGTTCTCCTGCGGCGGGGCGGGGCCCCTCCCGGGGCTCTCCTTCGGAGAGGCGGCTAGGACCTGAACGCCGTCCTTGGGGGACTCCCCTGTCGCAGCCGTGGGACACCGGGCGTGTTCCTGGGAAGCCGGCTTGGCATTTTTGGGCAGATGCTTGCTTGGGAGTTCAGTGGCAGCGCCTGGCGAGCAGGCCTCCGGCGCGGACAACAACCTCTTGCTCTCCAGTGGTTCTGCCTTTGATTCTTTTGACCACTGCTTCAGTGGGGAGAATGTCCCGTTGTCCAAAGAGGGGATTCCGCCAGAGGGCAAAAGCACCTGTTTAGAATTCTTAAGGTTCCCGCTGTTGCCCTGTGAGAGGCCCCCAGTCACTCTGACACAGACGCTCCCGTTCCTCAGAAGACCCTTCGTGGGATCAGCACTCACGCTGGTTCTTGGTTTGTTGGTCCTTACAGGGTGTGTTTTTTTCTGCACCAGGCTCAGAATGTAGCCATCCATTCTCTTACTGGATGAAGGGTGGGGAGCAGACCACAAACTACCTGGAGACGGTAAGGAAGTGTCTGTCTTCATGGCGTCCAGCTCAGATCCAACGCAAATGTCACTGGCATGGTTACCAAGCCTCTCCTCTTCCCTCAGAGGGTTGCCCGTCAGGCAAAGGAGAAACATTGGACTCTGCACCGCCACGGCATGAAGTGGACTGGGATAGCGATAGACATCATTCCCGTTTTTAGACACCAGATCACACTGGTACTTGGGATTCACATCTGCAATGACACCAAGGGAATTAAATTGTGATGTAGAGGAGGAATGGCACACTGCCCCCGAGGCCTGGTCTTCACAGTGGCCTTCTTTACTTTCCAACCATCCTATGAGATCTGAAAAACATTTAAAGGTACACTCTGAAGAAATGAATTAGCCATCAGCTTGACTCAGGCCAATTTCTACGAAAACAAATTCATCGGTAGAGAGAATGGTAAAGAATCAACAACTATTCCCTACAAGCTACTGTACTCTTTTACATACAGCCCATAATACTAGATGAGGGAAGAAATATTTAACATAGAACTTTGTAACAAGAAATGATATATCTTAAAATATTGCACCACTAAAAATACTTTCAGACTATTGAATAATATGGGGGAAATGCTTTAAAGTTTAGTGAAAATCATGATATAATACCAGACTATGATGATAATTTTATTAACTGTATGCAAAGAAATAAGTCTGAGATGAAGCACACCAAGATGCCAATAGTAGCATAGCAGTGTAGTGAGAAAACAGGTGAGATTTACTTCTTTATTTTCTATTTTCTAAATTTTCAATAAGTATGCACTGCATTTAGAACTGGAAAAAAACCACACTTTTTCAGTCATTCTTTCTCTGGGCTACTCTATCTGTGTTATATTCCTGGTTTCCTTTTGAAATGCTGCAGATAAACTGTACTTTCTGGGAGCTTTCTCCTCATTTTCTATTTTCTTAGACCTAGTTCTTAATGACATATGTTCGAGGATAACTGTCAACTGGAAATTCAAAGAAACTGATCAAATTTCAATGGAGACCAACCAAATATACATAATAATCACCTTTAAAAAATAATAATCACCTTATATTTTCAATAATGACACTAAAAAAACAATATCTTTTAAATAGGAAAGAATTCTTGATAGGGTTTTAAAAGATTGAATTGTATTAATGAATAAATTTTCCATATCTCAAAAACATAGATGCCAAAATACAATGAAATCAAGCTTTCTTGCTTAATTACATGATTTTGATGTCTTACCTTGGCGACTATTATAAATATCAAATCCCCTTAATGAACTTCAGCTAAGGAAAATCATAGTTTCTATTACTATTTAATATATCCTATATTATATTTACTCAAATATTGAAAACCTACTATGTACCAGAATCTATGTAAATTGGTTAATTTAAAGGAAAGCTCCATGACATTCGATGATGATTATCATCCCTGGGGGAAAATACAGTCTGGACCCAGAAATGATATGGTTCATTTGTAAAGAAAAGATTTTTCTACAAATGCTGTGTCTTTACACCTCCACTCTTAATAAATAACTAATTGTAAGAAAGGGAATCTTTTCTAGCTAATATCATTGCCCAGCCCCCCTCCTCCACTACTCTATCTTTGCCCTACATTTAAAACATTGCCCTACATTTACCTATATTTTACTGTTCTGTCCCTGTTCCCTACTTAGAGTTAAGGAACAAGACAGACATCTCAGTCCCCAAGGCCCAGTACAACTGTCTCAATTATGTGAAGATGTGGCATTTGGGAGATCAGGGGTCTGTCTTCAAGGAAAACCTATACCAAAGTGCCTTTAATGGGTTTTAAAGCTTCCCCTCTGAAACCAGATCTGCAGAGTGAAGAGAAACAATTACCAATGAACTTGAAGCCTAGACACTCTAGGTAACACAGATTTGTGCTTCCCCAAATGATTACTGCTGACAGCACACAGTACAAACACAAAGAAAACAGCCAGTTAGCAGCCTCAGTTATTTGGCTTTATTTCTGCATTGCTTAGATCTCAAAAATTCACCCTTCCACCCAAGTGGAGGACACAGAGAAGAGAAACCGAGAGTGCAATAACTTGTGCTGCATCTACAGCTCCTCTCCATGTTTTCTCTGCTCTTCTGAGGAACCAGAGTAAAGCAGAATGAAGAAAGGAGTCCCAAGTTTCAGCAACAACTCTGCCATTCAGCAAATGAGTAGCTTCTGACGAGCTGATTTATAAAACCAAATTCCTCCTCTGTTCAATGAGAAGGTCGAACACAAAAATTTCTAAATTCCCTTGGTGTGGTGGAAAAAACTAGGACCTGACAGTTAGTCCTGAGCTTGAATCCTGCCTCTACTTCTCACTAGCTCTGTAACCTTAGACAATTAACCTCACTAGACCTTATTTTTCTGAGACATATGATGGAGCTAACAATACTTGCACACCCTATAGAACTACTGGGTGGATTCAAAGGAGGTCAATGTATGCAGAGCATCCAGTACAGTGACATACAGTGGAAATGCAGAAACTCTTCCAATACCAACAACAGCAAGACTCTCTCCGGAGGTCACTGCAAGGAGGGTCCAAAATGAGGGACCGTGGCACATGGCTCAGGGGAATCTCATCCCACCCACCTGCCAGAAGAAAAAACAGCTGCCATAGTACAAGACAGTCTAGATAACCTGGGGAGGGGGAGAGGGGAGGGCGGGCACTGCTCCCTGAAGTACCAATCAGTCTGGCAGATATATTTAATTTAGTGTAAGCCTGAGCTTTAAATGATTAAAAAAAAAAATCCAAAGTGCTTTTCAAAAGAAAATGCAAACAAGTTAAACAAACAGCAAAGGCTCACAAACAGAGCACCAAAACCTGTAATATTGGGACAGGATTTCTAACGATAAGCTATCTTACCACCATCAGCTAACTGTTACCCAAAGAGGACTTGAATAGTGGTCATTGTGGTTCTAGATCAACTATGTCATGAAATGTAGCACAGTGATGAAATTCTCTGACCTTTTGTTTTTCTACCAATAGAAGGGGTTCTGGAGCTAGATAATCTTTAAGAGCCTTTGACCCCCTTCCAGTTAAAAATGTCTATCAATTCTAAAAAGTCTTACCTGCAGATTTGGGGCAACCATCTGAGATAGTCAAGGTTGCCTCCAAGGGGCTGCAAAAACAGGTGCTGGAATGACAACTCGATAAACACTCACTGAAGACCGAGTTAGAGGAATTGGAAAGGGATCCTGAAGCCCCATCACTCAGCTCATAAAACCCTACAAATAAAAACACCATTTGGAATTAAGATCATGTCAAGCAATATACACATTTGTGCTTAAAAAGAAAAGGGTTAATCAACTAGGAAAGATAGGAAAGGGAGGCTTCCTTGGGTGGGAGGTGGAGGGGGGCACAATTTTGGTCCACTGGATTTAGTGTTGTGACTGTATGATTTTATTTCAAGCAACTCTTAGAAAAAGGCAAAGAGCCCATATCTATGGATACATTTCAAAGTTACTCTCACTCTCAAATTAACCTTCCTCCTCCTTGACCCCACCTTTAAAGATGTGCAAGGAAAGAGACTTAGGTCTGTCAAAACCTCAACTTCATCACAAATGTTTCAAAAAAGAATAATTTGAAGAAAAAAAAATCTAGTTAAGGAGCCAAATGGCTTAAAAGAAAAAAAAAAAAAACTTTTGAAGTGGTCTCAGGAAGCTGAAGTGTGACAAATTTTCTAGCCCAGTTCTGACTTTCTCAAGTTTCAAAGGAGGACTGCTCTTCCAGAAATTTGAATAGAAGCTTTTATTTTTACACTCAGGGGACTCCAGTCAGATCAATCTCATTATTAAAAATTTTTTCATCTGGTTTTATTTCCCTCTCATACAACTGAATGGCAGACTGCTTTTTTTTTTTTTTTTTTTTTTTAATCCTCTTTGCACTAGAAACAAACTCCATTGCCATTTGCAGGTCTGGGAATGTTAAACACTGGGGGCTGAAGTAGAACTTGAGTGCAGAATGCTGTCCTTGTGCTCACATACTCACCTGAGCTGGGCCGACTATCTGTCTCCAGGTGCTCTTCAGATGTCTTTTCTACATCCAGTCTAAGGTCGCTTATCTGCTTGTCAAGTTCTTGCAACTGATTCAACAAACCAGCATCTCTTCTCCGCAAACAATTCTGATTAGGAAGAAAGACAGAAAAGAAAAATGAACATGTTTGGTCATAAAGAACCAGAAAGTCTGCTCTTAAGCTTCAAATTACCACTTGGAGAGTTCACTAAATCTTCCAAAACCAAAATCTTACTGGATGACCTGAAAAAAAAATTTTTTTAATCTTCAAGAATATGTCCTATTGTTTAGTTTTACTTCCTTACATTTTGTGGTGCTATAGTTTCTTCATAAAAACAGGACTTGCTTTTTGTTTCAATGAATATATGCAAACTCACTTTTTATAGGTAAGGACAAGAAAACGAGATTTTAAAAAAAATCCTCTGCGTATAGCCAATTTTTTACAAAACCGTACTTCACAGCAGACTCTTTAATTTGAAGTCAGAGTGTAAGATATTTCCTACCATACACTATACTCTTACTTAGGTGAGATTTTCTGGCCAAATGTCCCACAGAGTTTTGTTTTCTATTAGCTGCTTTGTGGGGTTTAATCAGTCTTAGGGCCTTTGAAAGTGAGAAACTAATACTAATAGCCAGTGCCAAGTATAATGTGAGCTGGCAAAATCCAAAACCCTCAAGGGAAGGTCCATCAAGATTTGAACACAACTCGGGTTTCCCAGGGTGACAGATCTGTAGCGCTAACTCACACCGCCACCTAGTGCTTCCTATTGCTGGGAAAGCAAAAGAACTCAAAAGGCATCTGGTTCAAATCATGAATGCCAAGTCTACAAATGAAAATAGTACCACAAAACGCTGGGCTGAAATTCTCCTGACGTGCTGTCTTGCTCCCCTCCAGGGGACAACAGGAATGTGCCACTCACAATCTTGAAACTCGTGAAGAGAAAAAGGTGCTATTGCACAAGACAATGCATAAAACGTCAACGACCAGGCATTACTGGCAGGAATGAACTCACATCCATGTTACATACAGACCTGGTCTACTTCCAAAGAAACAGGAAAACGCCAAAACAGGTAGTGCACAAACCAGGGCACATCTTCAAAAAAACAGATGCAAAGGAGTATCTATTCCAGTCCTGTCTGTCCCTTGGTTTTAAAAGCTTGTAGACAAAAACCGTACATGCCTGTTTGCTAGAATGCGTTTCTCCAGGAAAAAGGAACCAAAGTAAAACCCCTCTGATGCCGAGAGAGAGAGAAAGAGGAGAGAGAAAAATTATCTGAAAAAGAGAGAATACAAGAAACCCCCTTGACAATTAACCACATGGCATCACCTATGTTCACTATTGCAGGAGGGACATTATCTAGCATGTGTCCGGTCTCAGACAGTATCACATGGTCAGAAAAAGCTTTCTCTCTCTCTCTCTCTCTCTCTCTCTCTGTTTTCAAAACTACATTTTTGAGGTCACCATAACAAAGCTGCCGCCATTATTCTGAGGCGGGGTCAAAAGCTGCTCATCAATACATTAAGCGCCAAAGTTCTTGTTCTTCCCCGTGAACGCAGATGGCAGAGAACGACTGAGCCCCGGACGGAGATACGTGCTGCCCAGGAGCAGGTTCTCTCTTCTCCCACCTCCACCACCAATCACATGAAACAGGAGAGGACGGGGCACTCTCTCCAGCCAAATTTCTATCATTTGCGTGTTTTTGCTGTGCCTCATACAAAGGGCTTCTATTTGAAATTAGGCGGCAGCCCAGGCCAAAGCTGGCACGCCTGCACGCCTGCACGCCGAGAGCCCCGGGAGGGCCAGGGCCCCCTCCGCGCGCTTCCGCGGAATCGTAAAATTCAGCATCGGACAGTTAACCCCGCCACCAGCCCCCTGCCCGGCTTTTGTCCCCTCTCGGCGGGAGGACGTGGAGCTAAGGACCCCCCCCCCCCCAAACGAGATGGTATTTTAAAGGAGGGCGCTGCAGTCGTCTAACCCGAGACCCTGAAGGTTACGGCCCGGCGACTCCGAGAATCCCGAAGGCAGCGCCGCCAGCCGTCCTGGCCACCCGCGCCGGGTCGCCACCTGACACAAAGCGGGCACCCGCACACACGCGTGGGCGCCGGCGGCCCACGCAGGAAGGGGGGAGGGTCCCGGAACCCGGAGAGCCCCCACCCCACCCCGCGCGCGCGCGCCCCGCCAAGCCGGAGGCACTGTGGCGCCCACCCCCAGACCACCTACCCGAGTCCCGGCCCCTGTGCGGGGACAGCCGTGCCTCTACCTCCAGGCACGACCTACCAATTGCTTCCGCAGCAGCAAGATATTCTCCTCCAGGAACTTCTCCTCCAGGCGGCTGCGCTGCGCCGCCTCCGCCGGCAGCTCCCCAGCGCGGGGCGCCGCGACGCCCGCACCCCCGGCGCCGCGCAGGGCGCCCCGCACCAGCAGCTCCTGGCGCTGGCGCAGGTACTCCAGCTCCGCCAGCCCGGCCAGCGTGGCCTCCTGCCGCTCCCTGGTGCGCTGCCGCTCCGTGTCCGCCTCGCCCTTCTCCCGCCAGCGCCCCTCGGGCTCCGCCGCGCGCTGCTCGCCCCGGCCCGGCGCCTGCGGCTCCAGCTCCCTCGCCGGCCCGGCCGCGCTCGGCTTCATGGCCCCCACCCTTGCAGCGAGCACCCGCCACCGCAGCCGGGCCGCCCGGGACGGAGCAGCGCGGGCTAGGGCTGCCGCGGCCGCGGGCTCATGCCGCCCTGAGACGGGGCCCGGCGACGGGGCGACCGCCGGAAGCGCTCGGGACCCGCTCGCGGCCGCGGGCTGCAGCCGTCCGGGCCCGGGCGGCGCCGTCCGCTGTCGCCGCGCCGCCCCCGCCGCGGCCCCGCAGCTGATAACGCCCTGCCCCGCGCTACGTCACGCGCGGCGGCCCGGCCACCCCCCCCCCGCGCCCGCCTCCCGCCTCCCGCCTCCCGCCTCCCGCCTGCGCTCCGAGGCCCGCTCCCCCGGGCGTCCCCCGCTCCTGTCGGGGGCGCCGGCCTCCTCCAAGCTCGGCCCGCCCTGCTCCTCCCTCTCTCCTCCCCCGCTCTTCCCGCGGCGGGCCTCCTCGCCCCCTTGTCGGGTTTACGGCACCCAATTTTTGCCTCGTTCCCTATTGGTCCTTGTGCCTCGCACAAAGCGAGGGGCGAGCGCCCGGAGCCCCAGCATCCTGTTACAGTCGGCCTCGCCCGCCGGCAGGGTCGCGGAGGGACGCGGCGCTGGGGCTCCCCGGAGAACTTTCTGAAACTCGACCGACTTGCCGCGCACAGCCTTAACTTAACCCTTTCCCCCCACGGCCTCCCTTCACAGCCGCTCACGCCCATTTAGGTCCCTTTCACCTTGCCAAGCGGGGTGCTCCGGGCGCCTTCAAAGGCCGTTTCCGCGGCTTTGGTGTCTTTGGCTCCGCTTTGCAAAGGCAGGCACTAAATACTGTGCAATGTTCAAAAGCTGTCTAACTCTTAGTTTCGTGGCTTGCTGGTTTATTTATTTATTTATTTATTTATTTATTCATTCATTCATTCATTCATTCATTCATTCATTCATTCATTTCAGAAGGCAGATACAATTAGGCTGGAGGATGTCGCTGTAAAGCGAGCGGTTGCAGCAATTCCTTTACGAGCCCGGGGTTTCATGCTTGCGCGCGCGCCTGCGCGCCTTGGTTTTTGTTTGAATTTTTTTTTTTTTATTGTTGTTATTTGCTATCTTGGGCAAACCACAAGAGCTCGGACTCTGAAACCAGACTGTCTGAATGTGAATCCTGTTCCAGCCTTCACCAGCTGTGCAGACAACTTACTTCGCCTCTCTGTGCCTCTCTTCCCCCCGGGTAAAATGGAACTAACAGAATATGCCTGTTACAAGACTTATAGATAATACGGCGGGGTGTGTGTGGGGGGGGGTGTTTACAACGTGGCAGGCACATACATAGTAAGGATTATATGAGTTGTGGCTTTTTTTTTTCTTCCAGAGGGACCTATAAACTTTCCCCCGAAGTAGCATTTGTGAAATGGTCACCTCTGCTTGGGACACTGGTGGCGGGGGCTTCCACTGGGATAGAGGTCTGGAAATGCCACCAGCTGGCTTGTCTATGGAAAAGCACCATATCTAGTTTAAAGATCAATACATCAAAGAGCCTCAGAAATTGAATCCAACAAGTCACAACCTGCTGCAGTTCAGACAGCGTTGTGCGAAGGAATGCATCCTATATCATTATTTCAGACTCTTGCACCTTTGCCCAGCTGCCCTTTTTACCCTGTGTGGTCTAACCTTCCCTCCAAGATCTGTTCATTTCCCTCCTCTGAACTCCAGGTAACTGTACGAATATCTGATTCTTACCAAATGCTGTTTGGTTCTTTACCTGGGCGTGTACACATGTATATATGTATGTAGGTGTTTATGCGTATTTCTTCTCTCCAATTACGATATAAAAGTTCCACGAAGCCAGAGGCTGTTTTAATAGCCTCTTAATATTACTGTACTCAAAACAGTGCCTTGCAAGCCTTCAACTGATGATCTCTAGAGACTCAAGAAAATGTAGGTTGGTTGTAAATTGCTTTCACATTAACACACTAACTGAATTGATGGCACCCATTTAATCTCTGCAACAAGTAGAATCAACTCAACATTTACTTTACAAAAACAACAAAAACCAAAGTTCCCTTGCCACACTCCGTTGACCTCTCCATTGCTGTCCTCACAGACATAAAAGAAACTGTAACTGTAGTCATGATTCATAATTAACAAGATTGTATTTTAGATCTTTAAACAGAATTATGTTCAAAAAACGTTGGCATACAAAATCAATTCTATTCGGGTCATCTCTTCTTTATGCCTACTGTGTGCCAAACAATTCACTTAGTGACGCAGGAACTAATTTTCCTCCAAGACATTAGTATGAAGGCACCAAAGGATCATGACAGATCCTACATGTCAAAGGCCACTCCCTCATGTTCTCTATCATTGTCTCATTCTATTAATTTCTAAGCAAGCTTCTTGCTTTCTAGCTCCGAATTAGATTCCTTTTGGCTGGGTGGAGTCTATCATTGTGGCCTGGGTTATGTCACACATCGACAACTGTATTTATATAGTTGAGGGAGGAGAAAAGCTGAAACATGTTTTACACACTACTAATAAATCTTGTTAAAGAGGACAGACAAATCACTATGTCTCCAAACCTCGCCTCCATCCCAACCCCCTCCCCACCAAATGCCACTTGGAGCTGGCTCATTAGTCCAAAGCAAACCATTTGCCATAACAGCTTGTACATCTCCATGAGAAAGTGTTCCCAGCAAGTGTAAATATTAAAATTAATGTATTCAAATGGTTCCACCAGTAAAATGGTCACAAATAGGAAAAAAAAAGTTATCTTCCAAAGTATCCATCACACATTAATAAATAATGCTGTTCATTCACATGCCAATTAAAACAAACTTGGGCTGTCAAGGGAAATTAGAAGCAAGGAGCTCAGTGCTATAATTGTGGGGGTTTTGTTTGTTTGTTTGTTTGTTTGTTCCAATGTCGTCGGATTCAGTGTAACTAGTTGGGTTGCCCCTGTTCTCTTCTTAACAGCCATATTCTCTCCAGTCTAGTCCTGGCTTTCCTTTCCTCTTTGATGCTTTGTTTTGGTTGCAGGTATTCCGGAGGCAGTTGAAGGTAATCACCCACTACTCCCTGCTCCCTTCTGTTGCCAACAGGCTCTCTCTTCTACTGTTTTGATTTTTCCTTCTCTACTTTTTAAACCAGGTGCTGGTGCTTCTTCCTTCACTGATGCTACTTTGTTACCTCCCTTCCAGTTTTGCTCAGCTCTAGTCAATTCTTTTGTTTCCACCTCCTCACCCAAGCTTCTGATTTCACAGAAAAGCTGTTAATCCACACTCAGAAAGTGTGGCATGAAAGATGGAGTGGATCTGCTGTCTGGAGAATCTGGGGAGTAAGATAAAGTTGCTAACATGGAAAAAAAGTCTTGACTGAATATATCGGAGTTGGGTAGTTTATGCTTCAGGGCATTTCCTGGGCAGAACCAGGAAGGGTCCCTCAGGACACAGTCTGACCCTTTGCCCTTGGGCAGAACAGCTCTCACCAGCACCCCCACTAAAGTCTGAGTATCATTCTACAAATGCCTTATCCAGCAGTGAACATTCTATTGCAGCCAGGCAAAGTAAGGAGCATCAATTGCAAGTTTTGCTATAGAGAGAAGCAACAAAATGATGCCTTGCAGCTTTTATGGCCAAACAAACACAAATGATGTAATTGGGAAAAGCTGTCTCCAAATAGGAGGGAAAAAACTAAAGGGCAATCCTTTGAGTTGGGGTGATGACCACCATTCGAGGGTCTGGGATCAAAGCTCCAGCCAGACATCAAAGCCCATTTGAGTCTAATGCCAAAAGAGCCACAGTGAATTAAACTTCATATATAAACTAATTATAGCTTGACCCCACAATCAGGCTTCAGTGAGCACATAGAGGAAAGAAAGCAGACATTGAAACAAAAGATCAAGAAAAAGGAAAGTTGGTAGCAAAACTGGGCAACATCATGGCTCCAACCACTTTGAAAATCTTTTGAGGGCAGAGGAGAATAAGGGAACGGTGGTAGAAACAGCAAACTTTTGACAATGCTGGTCTTGTTTGCAAGGCTATGAGACAGCTCTTTCCACCCCCACTAACTCGTGCACAACCACACACTCCCTTATTCCTGGAAGAAAAGGTTTTCTGTTAACTGTTTTAGCATTGTTATAAAGCTTTCCCATCATCAGGTTTCTGTTGAAGAAGCACTAGATTCCACAAAGTTTGGGGGTGAGTTCTTCGGGAAGCTCAGCTTCCTTATACAGTGCACCCAGAGTTCCAAACATTCCCTCTGACAGTGACTTGCACTCCCCGTGGTCTTCATCACTTACATCTCCACCAACCTCAGACTTCAGTCCCTTAGCTGTGCCGTTTACAGATGAATGGTGCTTCATACCCAGTGTGCAAATACCCCAGAACATGCTCTGGTACGAATACCAAGAAACTACGTAACTCCTAGGCAAAATTTAAAAGTATTTCAGAGACAAGTGGTCACTTTAAACAATTGTGTTTGGTGGATTTTGCCCCTACTCTGCTTTGTTGGAGCTGATCCCTGAATATTTGAAATTCTCCATCTCATGAACTAGCAAACTATTACACATCCAATTTGATAATCCACAGGACATTTTCAATCATATTTACCTGTAGGTGAGCATTAGTGATTTTTAAAATAATAAAATCTAACAATAACCTGAGTCTCTTGCATGAGAGAAGGAAACTTTAAAGCAGGCATTCCCATAAGATAAAAACAAATATATACAGGTATATCATCATTGCAGTGCACTTCTTTAAGTGATCATTCATTTATTCTATAGGTATGTATTGTGTTCTAATACATGACAGGCACTGGGAATATAGTGGTAAACAAATCAGAGATAATCCCTACCTTCATGAAGCTTATAGTCTAGAGGGTAAGCTAGTACTAATTAAATAATTACATACATATGTGTATGATACATATATATTCAATATATACATATTTCCATGTATTTTTCAAATATGTGTATTTCTAAATGTACACATATTTCCAAATGTATATGTAATTCCAAATTGTGAAACAATTATCTCAATTAGCAAAATAATATTTCAAAGCAGACAAATGCTGTGATTATATCTAAAAAGTCATGCTCAAGTCACAAAAAATTATGACATTTCTAAAAATTGTTTTTTACAGGGAAAGGAATCTTATATTTTATTTTCTATTGTCTTTTTTAAAGAAATCTCCTTCCCTAAAGCTGCTTTAAAAA